GATTTTCTGAAGAGACCCAAGATCTTATTAGTTCTGAGATTTTTGAAGAAATCAATGAACCCGAGACTCAAGTGAGCGAGGAACTTTTAATAAGTTTTACTAGTGATGGGAATAATTTAAATCGATCTCAAATAGTGGTGGATAATGTTTTTGTATATAATATTGCACTTAACATTATGCAAGATAGTGAGGATCTTGAACCCCAATATATCGAAGAATGTTGACAGAGATCTGATTGGGCAAAATGGCAAGAGGCAATTCAATTAGAATTGAACTCACTTGCTAAAAGGGAGGTCTTTGAACTAGTAGTCCAAACACCCGTTGGTATAAAATCACTTGGTCATAAATGGTTTTTTTGTGCGAAAAATGAATGATAAAAATAAAATTGAAAGATACAAGGCTCACCTTGTTGTACAAGGATTATCATAGCGAACTGGAGTCGATTATGAAGAAACCTATTCACCCATTATGGATGCCATAATATTTTGATATCTCACCAGTTTAGCCCTACATGAAAGGCTTGAAATACATCTAATGGATGTAGTTACAGCTTATATGTACGGTTCACTTGGTAATGAAATTTAGATGAAAATCCTTGAAGGATTTAAAATACCATAAGCATATTCAAAATATCGAAAAATGTATTCAATCAGATTACAAAGATCTTTGTACGATTTAAAGCAATCTGGGCGCATGTGGTATAATTACCTCAATAAATATTTGTTGAAAGAAGGTTACATAAATGAATATTATTTGTACATATATTTTTATAATAATAAATGGCATCAGAATTTGTTATACTTGCTTATTATGTTGATGACGTAAATCTTATTAGAACTGTAATGACCCGACCAGTCGTTTTGAGTATTTACATTCTGTTCGATGATATGAGGTTATGAGTAGCTTTATACAGTGCATTATGACTTACGTGTATTGTCGGTTTTTATTTTTGAGTGGTTCGAGATTGATTTGGAAGAATGATTCTCAACTAGAAAGCTTTAAGTTGAAAGAGTTAACCAAGTTTAACTTTTATGTATTTAACCTCGGATCGGAGTTTTTATGGTTCCTTTTTGTCCGGATGGTTATTTGGGACTTGGTCATATGACTGGATTTGCATTTGGGATTAGACATGGAAATTCTTGTATTCTAGGGATTTGAAGACTATGAGGGTTCTCAGAAGCAGATTGTTCCTTGGTTGTGGACGGTGGTTAAGAGTTTGACGGCTGATTGTATGTGTTATGGTTAGGTTATCGTAGATTTTTGGAGGGTTATTTACCTATTTGTGGAGGACCAAAGTTGATTTTGTGGCCCATTAGTAGGCCTGATGGGAATGAGTTTTCTACATTGGATTGGGTTTGTTTACTCCGCACATCGAGTATCAAGAGGTGTGACATCGGTTATAGTTGATCTTATTCGTGTTCTGATTTGTTCTATGTGTTACTCTCCTATGCTACGAGGGGTTATGAGACTGTTGACTATTTACACACATGATGTGTTCTGTTTGTGCCTTATGGTAGAATTTGAATGAGATAGCTCTTGGGATGTTGAATGGTTGATTGCACCTTGGTTATGATCTTCCTGTTTGTGGTATATTGTGCTATTTGTTTCTCCATAGTTATAATCATGCACTTTGCGTGTTTGTTGTTGATATGCATATGGTTGTTGATTGTGAGCATCATGGTTCGAGGTATCCATGTGGATTGGTGTTTGGATTGGGTCACGCATCGCAACGGAGTTATGTTGGGATATGATCCTTTGTGCTTATTTAGTGTGTTTTGTTTCTCCTTTATGTGATGGGTTCATAGCATTGCGCTTCGTGATTGTATCTGTTGAGCTTGCAGGACAATTCTCTTATTTGATTCTCTTTCCATCATTGGGTATATTCGAGTTGTTGCTTGTGGTGCACATATTGCATGGTATATGTCTCTAAATAGTATTGGTGTGGCATATCGGTATAGCAGCTTGTATTGGATGAGGTGAGGTTATTGGACCTGAAATGAGTGCCATCAGATTTGATTAAAGTATGTTTGGAAGAATAGTGTCACTAGTCAGCTTAGATTTTGGCTATAGTTCTTGCCGGGCAAGAGAGACCCACGACTTATTGATGTGATGGGTGGTTATGAATTTCTGCGTGTTTCATTCATTATTGGTAGTGTACGAAGATTTAGAATAAAGTTTTAATTGATATGAAGTTAGTTACCGGTACAGGGTTTGTTATTGAGCAACTACTGTGGTCGGAAGTTATTGCTATGAGTGTCTGTGTTATGTGGAATATCATGTGCTTATATTTGGAATATGGTTATGGCTTGATATTGTTTGTTCAGAATTATACAATGTATAGATGCGAGAATCGGGTCTTATAATAAATTTTAGATATTGGAGATTGGGTTTTGAGGTTTGTGGATTGAGGTTGAAGTAAGGATCTTAAGTTAGGTTGTGTTGTCAGGCTTATATGAATTGGGATGACATGAGATCATCTATGGGTATGTGTATGGTGAACTTATACAGTGTTATGATGTCTTTGGAATGACTCTTGGCACGTTTGAGGACGAACGTATGTTTAAGTAGGGAGAATTTAATGATCCGATCGGTTCTTTTGAGCATCTACATTCAGTTCGGTGGTTTGAGGTCATGAGTAGCTTCATATGGTGCATTATGACTTGCGTGTATCATCGATTTTGGTTTTTGAGCGGTTCGAGATTGATTTTGAAGAATGATTCTCAACTAGAAAGCTTTAAGTTTGAGGAGCTGACCAAATTTGACTTTTGTATATTTGACCTCAGATCAGAGTTTGCATGGTTCTGTTTGGTTCAGATGGTGATTTTGGACTTGGGCGTATGCCTGGATTTGCATTTGGATGTTTCTAGAAGGTATTGGATTTAATTGGCGAAAGTTAGCAATTTGAAGGTTTAGAAAGTTCATAGGTTTGACCAAGAGTTGACTTCAATGTTATCGGATTTGGATTGTGGTTCCGGGAGTTGGAGTAGGTTCTTTATGTCATTTGGAACTAGTGTGCAAGATTTGAGGTGATTCCGAGTTGTTTAGATGTCTTCGACGTAAGTTTGGAATTTAAAATTTTGAAATAGTTCATTAAGCTTGAACTGAGGTACGATTCATAGTTTTGATGTTATTTTGTCATATTTAAGGCCTTGAGCATGTCCGTTTTATGTTTTGGGACTTATTGGTATGTTAAGGACGGGGTCCCTTGGGGCTTGAGTGAGTTTTAGATAAGTTTGGGTTGTGTTGTGCTCGTATTTGATGTTTCGACGACGTTTATTCAAGCATAAATGGTACCACATTAAGCAAATGAGCTCTAAATTATATTTTGATTGAAGAATTACATCCGTATCGTAATTATGGAACTATAGCAAAAAGAAATATCAAATTTAAACATCGTATGAGGGAGTTATGCCCATTTTAGTGTCGGAGAAGATAATTGGTGCTAGTACTTCGCAGATGCAAAGCGGGTCTGCACCCGCAACCCCGCAGGTGCAAAAAATGGTATGCAGGTGCGGAAATGACAGCTGGCAGACCGCATGCACGACTTTTTGGGCGTAGAAGCAGGATCTATATGTATTAAAAAATCAGACTGCGTTCTTTTGGTATTTTGAGCGTATCTTGAGTTCTAGAGCTCCGTTTGAGGTGATGTTTGCGGCGTTCTTCTTGCTTTTTTATGGAGGTCAGTACCTTTCCTCAAATTTTGTATTTTAATATGTTTACGCTAGTGTATTTGTGAATTAATTCATATTTTGATTGGAGAGTTTACTAGCAAGATATATCTCTTTTCCTACATGAAGACATTGGAACATGATTAATCATATATTGCGATATTTAAAAGGAACTCTTGATATGAGTTTGTTTTATGCTAACAAAGGTAGTGCAGATCTTGTTGGTTATGCAAATAAAGGTTTTTTGTCTAACCCTCATAAAACTTGATCTTAAAAGGTTATCTGGTTACATGCGGAGGTACTGCAATATCATGACAATCTACAAAACAGTCTATTATCGCTACTTTCTCAAATCATGCTGAGATAATAGCTATTCATGACGCAAGTAGAGAATGTGTATGGTTGAGATCAGTGATACATTTCATTAGAGGGAGATGTGATATGAGATGCGATACCAAAATACCTACAGTTTTATATGAAAATAATGCTGCATGCCTAGCCCATTTAAATGGAGGATTCATAAAAGGAGATCGAATGAGACATATTTCACCAAAGTTATTCTTCACACATGATCTCAGAAGAATGGCAATATCGATGTGCAGCAAATCCGTTCAAGTGACAATCCGACAGATTTATTCACTAAATCTTTACCAACTTTAACTTTGAGAAGATGGTATACAAGATTGGAATGCAAAGACTCAAATATTTGAAACAAGATTTTAATCAAGGGAGTAAAATATGCGATATACTATTTTTCTCTTACTAAGGTTTTTCCCGTATGGTTTTTCTTATAAGGGTTTTAATGAGGCAGCTAGCAATGCGAAATATATATACTATTTTTCCTTCATTAGAATTTTTTCTCACGGGGATTTTCCTAGTAAGGTTTTAACGAACATCCAAGGGGGAATGTTATAAATATATTGTATTGTGGATGCACATTTCGTACTCTACTATAAATAAGCTTCTTGAAGAAGTTTATTCATATTGAACTCCGCGGTAAATATATTTATCTATTTAGTACTCCATTGGAAATAAGCCTCCAGAATAAGGTTATTATTTCGGTACTCCATTATGAATAAATATTACCTCATATAAAAAATTATCTATAGCTAGTATAATAACAACTTACAAGCAATTTACACATTAACATACAATATCAGCTTACACAATAACTTTCTTTATTCAATAAATATAGGAGAATTCATTCGATTAGTTACACGAGGTTACTAGTAGCACTAATTTCTACTACTAAGTATTTTCTAGTACATCCATATTTTCGGTTAAGTATTTTGTTTTAGTTTTATTTTTGCGTCTCACTTCCACGTGTTAATGGGGGGCCAAAATAGGAACTAAATAACACACACCAAAAGTTCTTTCTTCTCCTTGTATATGCCGAGCAGATTAAGGGACTCTACCAGAAATTGGAGACTGTAATGTCACGTGTTAATGTTCTTGTTAAATCGCACACAAATTTCAGTTTAAGGGTTGAAACTAGGGTTTTTTCTTCAGAATAATTTGACTGAAACTATTGTTGTTGTTTCAGGCAGTGAAGGACTTTAGGGTTTTTTTTGAGGTAACTTCTTTTTTTCCTCAATCATTCTGTAAGTTGTATGCATTTTTCTTTAAGTGAATATTCAGTTAAATTATGACATATTTTGCTTTTGGTTTTTGTTTCAATTTGTCTCTTCAGTAGTTACATGCAGAAGTTGGTTTTTGGGTAATGTGTGAATTAGATGAAATGTCGGTAATTATTTTTATATTTTCAGCATTGCGACCATAGAGTTTCACATCCTGATCTGGAGTTTAAATGTTACTACTTTCTACTGTTGTTGATTTTTGTTATATTCCTTCAGAATTTACATGCAGACATTAAACACTTGTGCTTAAACAAATATAGTGAAATTGTAGCACTTTTCTTTTCTAATATTAACCAAAAACCACGTGGTGATTTCTTCCCACGTGCATAAGCTTTAGTAAGTAGAGTTATCCGGTAGAATAGTANCAGGGGGCAGACCTAGTGCATTAGTTTTGAGTTTGGTAGAACACAGTGGCTTTGGCCCAGACCTCTATTTGTATTAACAAATCCACTTAATATGCATAAATAAGCTATCTCGAACCAGTTGCTTTCTTGTCTTAGAATCTAGAACTCATAAGCATAAAATCTTAGATCCGCCTCTAAGGTGAACTGGGGGTGGATGGGAAAGCGTGGTTAACTGGTGCAACTGAATGAAATGCTTCACAGGATAACTGTTTCGGTAGACTGTTAAATATTACATATTTATGTAGACTTTTGTTATTTTGTATAGCTTATTAAAGGATGGTGATTGATATCACACTCTTCGTTTTGTTAATCTTTATTAATAGATGTCATCAGTACATCATTAGTTTTCCATGTCTGTTGTTTATAGTGTGGATACTGTGTACTTATAAGTTATAAGGATAGTCTGAAATAATTTATGGTTTATTGTTCACAGCTGAACGGATGGCTAGCGAGACTCGGTCTGGGAGGAAAAATAAGCATACTGAGAGCAATAAATCAAAGAACAAACAATCAGATAAAGGATCAATAAGTTCTGGCTCCGGAAAGACAGATAGCTTAAGAAAGTCAGTTCGAGAAACGAAGCAAGCAGATTCAATCCCATCGAGTACAAGGAAATCCGAGCGTCTTGAAAAGCAGTTACCATCCATGCCAGCTGTTAAGAAGAAATCTGGAGTAATTGAGAAACAGAATACTCCGAGCCCTTTAAGAAGGTCTGACAGGGGCAAGAAAGATATCCCATCTAGTTTGTCAAGATCAAGTTATGTAGGAAGAGGACCCGATTCATCTAGTGTCAAGAAGAAGGAACCAAAAGAGAAAAGTGTGAAGGAGCTGATAATGGATTTTGAAAGTGTTAGCACTGGGAGGGAAAATGGTGCAACTTCTGTAGGCTTGAAAAGGAAGATAATGGATGCCCGGAGTTATAAGGCATTGTTCAAAATGCAAAGAAAGAGATCTACTGCAGCAGGTAGACTAATCTCTCTGTTGTAGTTCTCATCCTCCTATAACAAGCGCTATTGTTTCTTGTCAATGTTTTCCTTGTTTCTCCTTGTAATAACAGAACGCATCATGAAGTACACTCTCTCCTGGAATGCTGGGAAGCGTAAAAAGACTTACTGAATTGACTATAGCTTTATCATGGCAAAAACTAACTAATTAACTAACTATCTCCACCACCATGTATCAGCATAATTCAAAGTCAATTATTGTGCCATGTCATTAGTGTGTTTAATAGACACATCTTCAACTAACAATAGGTTTTCAACAGGTCACACCCTTAGATAAGGTGTCTAAATGAAAAATGTGGATAACTTCGAGGCATATATGTACTCAGCCTTTACAATTTCGATGCTAAGAGTGAAGTATAAGATAACTGAATTGGTATAGTCTTACCTTGGTGTTTTGGAATTGCTGAAATTTCTATACTGATGTAGATGTTTGTTTCCCCTGACTAGAAATTATTGACAAGTTGGAAAGACCAAAGAAGTCATCAAGAGTTGATAGCATTGCCAGTGATGAGACTGGCTCCAAGCTAATCAATGGGGATAATGAATCTCATGAAAGAGTTGTAGAAGAGTTGAAAGAACATCCTGATGGGGTTGCTTCTTCAAGGTCCATTTCTAGCTCAGAAGCGTCTGATGCAGATGCTTCGGTAAATGATGTTGAGAAATTGCCAGATTCAAACCGCAGATGCTGCTCTAGGGGAAAATCTGCTGCTCTTCCTGCAGAAAATGGTTTTGAAGTATCTAAAAATGGTTGCACTGTGGGAGAAATTTCTGGTGATTCCGAAAGGGTACCAGAGGGTTGCTCTGTGACTGAGGATAATTTGCATATCCCTGATTTTTCATGTTCCACTTCTACAGGTGGTGATATTATTCTGAAAAGTGGTGAACTAGGCATTGGTAAATGTTCTGAAACGCATAAACATGCATGCGACTTGGCTGAAGTTTCTCCTCCACCACTAGCTGACCATGAAAAGCTTGGTTATGGTGGGACTTGTGCTTCATGCTCTAGACGGATAAGGTGAGTTTTCCACTCTTTCTATTTACATTTTGTTTCTACCAATACTGTGTTGCTTTACTAACTTGACTTTAGCCTGGTGAATCATCACATTTAAAACTTAGAAGCACAGTTTCCTTTCAGATATTTTAAGTGTCACATATGCTAAAGACTCAAACTTATTACATACCGATTGATGTTGCACTTCACTTATAAAATATTCTGGAGATATCCAAAATTTCTCTCTTCTTAGTCTTTTTGTAGGTAATGTAAGAATATATATATTTTTTTGATAAGTAATTAAAGATATTATAAATTTATGCACTAAGCCAGTGCATCAGAACCCTCTATTGTATCTAGCATTCCATCTACATCATGTTCAGTTACCAGATTGCACCAAAAAGCTAACAAAAAAATACATCTCTGTTTGAGGCTGTGAATATTGCTCGATGTGCCTTCAAAAATTCTATTGTTTCTTTCAAGCCAGACAGTCCACCAAATAACTTGAGGTATGGTATTCCAAGTTCTTAGAGATTTCTTACTAATCCCCTCTCTGCTCCAACCTTGCAAAAGCTCAACAATTGATTTTTGGCATGGTCCAGCTCATACCCAAAATTACCAGAAACATATTCCACAGCTGCCCTACAATGCAAGAAGAGATGGCCAACTTCTTCCGGATGCTCTTCACACAATGGACATCTACTGCACAGTTGAAACCCCCTCTTTTGGAGGTTCGATTGTGTAAGACAAGCCTCCCGAGCAACAATCCAAGAGAAACAAGCAACCTTCAAAGGAGCCTTGCTTCTCCAAACCTTTTCCCAAGGACATAATACCCCGTCGCTGCTAGAATCCAGCATGTGGTAACAACTTTTGACTGAAAAGAGACCCTGTTGATTCCAACCTATGGAGTCTGTTTTGTTGTGATCCAAGGTTATGTTGTTTAACCTCTGAAGCAGAATACATAGTCTTTCCACTTCCCAATCATTAAAATCCCTTCTAGGAAAAAGATTCCACCGTTGTGTTGAAAAGATTGCTTTAACAACCTATGTAAGAATATTATTGATGTAAACCAGCATTAGGAGAAGAATACATCCAAAAAGTAACTTCACAATGTGTGTTAAGAACTGAGGAAGTCAACCAAGACGTCCAGCTCTAACACATTTACTGTGGCCCCGTTGCACTGAATATTAAGCAAAAATATACACCATATGCTTAAGATTAACTACATTGCCCTTCTGTCTTCAAAAACTCTAGCATTTCTTTCTCTTCATATGGTCCACCAAATCACAGCAGGGACTCTGATCCTGATGGCCCTAGAGGATTTCATAATATCCATTATATGCCAATAGAGAGGGAATCCACAATATCTCTTAAATGTGTGCAGATCCTGCAAGTGTATTTTGACCTTAGTTGTGTGGAAATGCTTCCAAGTATTTTCTCAATACTGAAATCAATTGGTGTGAGGATGTTTAAGGAAGAAAAAAAATAGTTTCTCTTTGTGTGTCTCTCAGGGATATTGTGTTTGATCATCCAGACTGCTAGTTCCTTTTCTTAGGCATCAGTTTAGAAACGATATAAAGCAGTATGCTTCCTAAGACCAAGTTGAAGTAACCCCATTGACCCTTTTTGCCTTTTTGCGATAAAACAAAAAGTTATTGGCAAAACTGTGCCCTATACAACAAGAACAACATCAACGATGGCTCAACGCTATAGCTTTTGGCTTTTGGCTCAAATTCAAGTGCTTATGGCTTTTGGATTTTTGGTGTAATTTACAATATGTTAAAAATGAAGATAGTATGTTAGAGTTCATAGATTTACTACAGGCATAGGAGCATATTCTGGTGGAAACCTTTGTTTGTTTTTGTACAGAAGGGTTTCAAACTTTGTAATTAGCTTGGCACTAGCTTAGTGCAATGCTTCTAATGTTGTGCTATAATACACCATTTACCTGTTAAAAAAAAATAAAGTAAAATTGCTCAGAGAATGAGTACAATAAAAGTAAAGTAAGCCCCGTGCAGAATTTCTAGCACCTTACTGCTCAAGGAGCTTACAAAGTGGAGAAGCAAAAGGTAGCTTACATAAAAATGGATGCACCAGGCAAAGAGATTAAACAGACATCTAGATTTTAAAAAATGTGTAGGAGTTGCTGTTCCTTCAAAACATCTCTGATGTCCTTCCTTCTAAATGCTCCAAATGATGCATTGATGGATCATCTTCCATATGTTTTTGATGGACTTCCCAACTCTACACTGCTACAGATGACATGTTTCCTTCAAGGTCTTCGGTATAACCCAGCTTTTATAAAACAACAACAACAACTCAGTAAAATCCCAAAAGTAAGGGGTCTGGGGAGGGTAGAGGAGGGTAGTGTGTACGCAGACCTTACCTCTACCCCCATGGAGTAGAGAGGCTGTTTCCGATAGACCCCTGGCTTAAGAAAACGAAAAAGACAAAAGAGACTATATATCAGTACAAAAAAGATTACAAGACTTGTCCAATATATCTTTAGTAATTGTGCAGTGCAGAAACAAATGGTCTGTACTCTGTATCCTCACTATCTTTTGTATAGATGTAGCATCTATTGCACAAAGTTATTCCTCTTCTCCTTTAATTTTCCTGTGTTAGGAATGCAGAATGCTCCTAACACTGCCACCAAGCTAAAGCAAGCAATCTTAGTGGGGGTTTTAGTTCTCCTAATTTTGGCCATTCCTCAATAATGTTGCTGCTGTTTACTAATTCGTCATAACATTCCTTAGAACATACCATTGCCATTGTTTCCCCAAAATAATCTTTCTGTTGCTGTTGGGTCTGATTCTGGATAAAAAATCCAGCACATTTTCTACTTCCCGGTCATGTCAATGCCTCCTGAAATTGATGTTCCATGTCCCATTTACCCTAAGCTGTTTCACTGTAGCTTCAGTATCATTAGCTAAACCAAATAAATCTGGAAACTCATCTTTGAGAGGTATGTTGCCTAGCCGTTTATCCCTCCAGAATAGGGTGTTCTCACCATCACCAACCTGTAACCTCACCCTTGACTGCTGCCACAACTTGCTAATGTGTTTCCAAGGCCCACACCATAAGAGTTTGTGGTCACTTTTGTGTGCCATGCTAGTTGAGGTTGGTCATATGGATCCTTTATTTCTATTGCACTCCATTTGGACTACTTCTAATCCAATATGCAATAATTCGTCTTTGATAACAAATTAGGGGTTCTTAAACCAACTACTTTCTATATCTCACACTTATCACTATACTGACATACAATCTCTAATCAAACGAACAAACAAAAAGGACTCATGACAAACACTAAACCTAGCATAAGTGTACCAACAACGATTAAGCCTTAATACCAATTAGTTATTTCGCCAATTTTACACTAAGTTCTTGTGAATTCGTAGAGATTATAGGTCTTTTGAGACATTCTCTCAACATGATTTTATCTTTTAAAGCATTCAATCATTATCGTGCCACACCTATGGGCCTTTGCAATTGACATAAGCATTCAGGCGACATTATCTTATTTTATCCTTTGTGTTCCATTTGGGCCTTATGTCAGATGTTATCATTTCTGGTAAGACTTAACTAAGTAAATAAAAACTTCGTTCTCTTCTAACAACTTACAGGGCAAGCAGAGGTCCTGAGTGCGAGCACATCGCCACCCCATTGTTAAAACGTATATCACGTGCTTGGCCATGAAAAAGTATCAGGCTGCATGTGGGGTGTGTTTTAAAGACATAATTAAGTAAATAATGGTGTGTTCTCTCTAACACCTTAAGCTTTTAGATACATCTTAAGCTTTTAGATGAGATGGTCACACACTTCAACAATTTTTAATCATGTCTTATTTTGGATAACAACACATCCTTCTTAACATTTTCCACCACACACTTGTGGATATGTTGGGTGGTAGAGGTCCAATATTCACTTGCATAACACTTTGTGCACTTTCATTTCAGTCATCATATTCTTGTTCTCTGTGTTACATCTTCATGTATTATGCATCTTAGCTTAGATATTTGAAATTTAAGCATCAAGCAACTGTAATTTGTCTAATGTTTGCCTCAACTTCAAGTTGATGAGGTTTGTTAACCTTCTTTAGTCTGATAAGACTGTATACCTCCCTGCAAGGGAATTTGCTCCTCATTTTGTTTTTGCATCATTGGTCTTGGATTTCTACGTTCTTCTAAATCATCCTTTGATCTTTTATTCATCATAATGCTAGATGTATTATTACTTTTGGGCCTTGGATAATTTATCAGGTTAACAGTCTGTACTTCCATCTGCCAGGGACAAAAGTATGGTTTAAGGTTTTCTATTTTTTTCTTCTGCAGTTATTTACTATTTCTCATTCATAACTTGCAGGGTAAATCATGACTCTCCAGAAGAGGAGCTGTGCTCGTGTGCTGGAATGTCAGGCAGGGATTGCTATAACCTATCTAGGCTCAAGGTTCGTGCTGTAAGACGTGGAGAAGTAGAGGCAGCTTATATTCATAGTCGTAAAGACCCAATAGACTATCTAAAATTACTATAGGATCCATATACAGTATATGCAACAGTTTTTTTCTGTGACTGCAAAAGAAAGCTAATGGCTATAAGATTTGGAGATTATTGGTCATAAAAAAAATTTGGAGCCTATAAGACCTACTGGACACGTAACCTAGGCTATACAACATATGACGAAAACATAGAAACAGCTGAATACAACACATTTTGTACTGTAGTCAATTCGAGAAACTTTTTCGGTTGTCAAAAAGCTGGGAAGGAAAAAATGGTCAACTAGCTGTCAGTTACTGCTATTATTCGTTTCTTCTTTGTAGTATGAGCATCATCATGTCTTTACCACTTTGTTCTAACAGGTAATGAGACATGTTCTTTTTAATAGGATTTTTTTTTGAATTAGGAAACAATGAGACATGTTATATCAGTGCTCCTCGGTTATTGTCACTGTTTATTCTTTAATCACATGTCAGAATTAAGGGATTTTCTGTTATGTGGTTAGCAGCCGTGCATATCCTTTTTGCCAAGCATTTCAGAGTTATTTTATTGTAATTAATTTGCTTCTCAATATTTAATAATTTTCTTGTGCTCAAATGCGTTCCGTTTTAGGATGGAGTTGGTTCTGAAGCTGCAATTCCTTTGGATTCTGGAGAAGGATGCCATATGCAATTAAATCAGGCACTTTCAGTTTCTCAAAGGGGTGCTGATGAAAAAATGTGCACCATATGCAAACAAGGTGGAGAGATACTGTGGGTACCATTTGCAACTATGCACAATTAATTTGATGGCCAATAAAGCTCTTTCAAGCCATAACTGAGAAAAAAATCAGCTCTATCTAAAAAGCATTTGTTTTTGACTTTTTTTTTCTGTTTTTATTTTGTTCCCTAGACTTTTTCTAGTTACTGGATTGTGGATGCACCCAATAATGATTTTTCCATTTGTGTAATGCATTAATAATTGTCAAGTAGTACGATAGCCCGACTTAGAATGGCCATGTGTATGTCTTGATATTTATCATTTGTACTTGACATACTTTTTAGGATCTGTGATGGAAGAGGTTGCAAGAGATGCTACCACCTCTCTTGCTTAGATCCTCCATTAGATGATTTCCCACCAGGAGCTTGGCATTGTACCTGGTGTGTCAAGAAAAAGATTGAATCTGGTGTACATTCAGTGACGGAAGGAGTAGAATCAATCCGGGATGTCAGAGAAGTGGAAGTTGCAGGTACCAAAGGTTTGATGGACAAGTAATTACATGCATTAGACATTTGTATGGGAGCTGGATGACTATGTGATATGAATAGTTTTTAACGTTTGTCATATCTCTTAATATTGCTTTGCTCCTGTTAATTCTCGTTCTTGATTATTTTGTTTTCTTCTTCTTTGCTTTTTATGTTAGGAATGCATAGGCAGAAGCAGTATCTTGTTAAATACCAGGGTCTTGCTCATGCACACAATCATTGGGTTGCAGAGACACAATTGCTTATTGATGCACCATTGCTTATTGCAAACTATAATCATAAGAATCAGGTCAGAATTATTTCTTTGAAGATTTTCATTTGTTCTTTTTTTTTTCTTCTCTTCATATTTTCTGCCAACTTAAGTAAATGGATCATTATTTGCCAAACACATGCAAAAAATGATATCCATCTATCATGTACTTTTTATTGTTTTCACGAGTAGCGACTTTTTCCATTATTTTAGGATGTGAGGTGGAACTCAGAGTGGACAGTGCCACATCGTCTCTTGAAGAAAAGATCATTGATGTTCTCCAAGCTGCATGGTCAAGATGCAGATGATAATAGCAAATGCCTGTTTGAGTGGCTTGTGAAATGGCAGGGCCTTGATTATGAGTATGCTACATGGGAATTAGGGAATGCTAATTTACTGAACTCACAGCATGGTGAAAGCCTTATCAAGGATTTCAATATTCGCCGCGAAAAGGCAAAACGAAGAATTGACAAGGTGTTTATGATTTTCGTGATAGTGCTAAAATTATTCTATGATTTCACTTCTTTAGTCTGCTAATTGATAAGTATCTATGCCTTGTACTAGTTGGTGTTGTAACTTATAATCCCAACATTTTGCTCTACTGTTTATGCAACCTCAGTTTCCTGCTGCCTGTCGGCATAAAGGGTATAGGACATCTCTTCACTAAACATAAGAGGTTGGCCGTTTTTTGAGGATATTTTGAGTGATCAGTCCAGAAGAAACTTGCTATGTGTTTGTGTGCTTGAAGTCATATATTGGTAGTACTCGTCAACTTTGTAATATTAATTGTATGTCTTCTTCTGCTGCTGCAGAATCATAAGGGGCCACTTGTCAAACTATCAGAACTTTCTGCTGGAGGTTCACATATAACAGATTCTAATCTGCTGAACAATGTTAACAAGCTGCGGGAGTGTTGGTTGAAGTGCCAGAACACTGCTGTCTTTGATGACCAGGTGAGTTCATTCTACAGGGAATGCTCTTCTAGGTGGGTAATGAGATATTGCTAAACATACTATATAGTGTGAATAAATAATGGATCACTATAATATATACACATCAAAGCAGTAGAAAAGGATTTGAATGTCAAGTTTGATTGATAGTTTTGAAGTTGTCATTTGATGCTTTCTTCACCTTATCTAGAAACCTATTTTCTTGTGTACTTAATTTCATTTTAAAATCTTCCTCTTCATTTATCCACTCTTGTGATGGCTTGTTTTTTCTTGTTGGCTTTTGACAAACTGTTTGGAACTTCGTTAGCATCCATTTCTAAAGGATACTTCATGGGGTGAATCCTTTCTTTTGTGATTGCTAAAACTAGGAGATGAGCCACCAGTTATCCTTCATTGATGTTCGCGCATAACTATTTACTTAACTAGTTCACATCCAGAGAGTTCGTCTCTTTTTGGTCCAACTGATGATGCAGCATTTCGTCTGTCTTCGAACGGTTGTACTTAAATAATTTCATGTTGAGCTATGTAACTTACTTAAAAACTAATAAACCTCAGAATGGTTGTTACACTGATTTCTGTCGCTCATAGAATTTACAAGAAAAACTGCTTCCTGAATGATTACTATGTTGTGGAAGGCTGTAGTTGAAGCTAACTGAAAGTGAATATGTTAGCCTTATAAAAGAGATGAGAGACAATTTCTCACCTAAGCAAAACTCACAAAGGTTGAGCCATAGGCAATTTGGCAGAGCAGTCTCTTTCTCCAAAAGGATTATTTACTGCAAAAGAGGAGGTCCTTGCGACCTGTGTTATCAAAGCTGACGAGTGAAGAAATAGCCATGACATCTGTCTATGTGCATATCACAAAAGAATAAAAAATAAAAAATATATATGTAATTCAAGAATAACATAGACAGATGTCATGTGCTCCTGACAAAGCTCCTGGTCCAGATGGGTTCACCATGGCTTTCTTCCAAACAACATGGGATATCATTAAAACAGACATCATGGCTACACTTAACCATTTCCACCATAATTGTCACATGGTTGGGTCTTGCAATGCCACCTTTATTGCTTTAATTCCAAAAAGAAAGGGTGCCATGGAGCTTAGGGACTACATGCCTATTAGTTTAATAGGTAGTGTATACAAATTGATCTAAAAAATCCTAGCAGAAAGGCTTAAAAAGGTTGCTGATAAGCTGGTTTCTGGGGAACAAAATGCCTTCATCAAGAACAGACAGATCACTGATGCCTCCTTAATTGCTAATGAAGTGCTGGACTGGAGAATGAAAAGTGGGGAACCTGGTGTTCTATGTAAATTGGACATTGAAAAGGCTTTTGATCAGTTAAGCTGGCCTTACCTTATGAACATACTAAGGCAGATGGGATTTGGGGGAAAATGGATAAGATGGATGAATTTTGCATTTCAACTGTTAAATATTCTGTCTTGGTAATAGGAGCCCTATTGTTTTTTTCTCTCCTAAAAAAGGCCTAAGGCAAGGAGACCCCATCTCCCCTTTCCTCTTTATTTTAGCTATGGAAGGACTCACCAAAATGTTGGAGAGGGCTAAGCAACTACAGTGGATACAAGGTTTTCAGGTGGGAAGGAACCCTTGTAGCGCAGTCATAGTATCTCACCTGCTCTTTGCAGATGATACTCTTATCTTCTGCGGCAACGAGAGATCACAACTTCTGAACCTTAACTAAACGCTGATGATATTCGAGGCACTCTCTGGACTGCACATTAACATGATAAAAAGCATTATCTACCCCATGAATAATGTTCCTAACATCGAGGAGTTGGCCGACATTCTATGTTGCAACATAGGTACCTTGCCTACCACATATCTAGGACTACCATTGGGGGCCAAGTTCAAATCTAATGAAATTTGGAGTGGTGTGCTGGAAAAGTTTGAGAAAAGGCTTGCAACATGGCAGATGCAATACCTCTCCATGGGCGGCAGATTAACCCTCATCAACAGTGTCCTAGATAGTCTCTCCACCTACCACATGTCATTGTTCCCGATACCAAGAACAGTCCTAAAACAAATGGATAAACTTAGGAGAAAATTCTTATGGGAGGGATGCAGTACCACCAGTGTTGTGAAAAGCGCTCGCTTCAGCTCTTAAAGTACGAAGCGAGACCTCGGGCGCTTCTGTGATGTGAAGCGCAGCAGGTTGAATAAAGCGAGCGCTTCTGTGCGGTTCTGCAAAAAAAGCGAGAAGCGTAAAAGTGACACGCTTCTACATGTTAAGGGTTGACAACGTTAAAAATTTATAAAGTTTATCAAGTTCAAGCCCAGGTATGTGATTTCTTCCTCCTCGTCCTTCTTTTTCTTTTTCTTTCACTGTTTCGGTCCCAAAATAGCAACGAAATGCTGGTAATTTTTTTTCCCCTTCAGTTCTTTTTCTCAATTCTCTTCTTCATCTTCTTCTTCTTTTTCTTTCACTGTTTCAGTGATAAATTGCAGCGAATTGCTGCCCAATTTTTTTCGTTTCAGTTACTGCAATTTTTTTCGTATACTTACTGTCATTTTTTTTCATTTCATTTAATCTTGTAGAAGAATAGGATGCTCATTTTGTGCTTTAATTGATGCTACTCTTTAGTTTTTACATTGAAGTATTGAACATTTGCTTACAGTTACATGTGTTGTCTATGCATTATTTATTTTATTTTATTTTTTAAAAATTCCGTTTCACTTCAAAAAAGCGAGCGCTTCGCTTCTCGCTTTAAGCGAAAAAGGGCTTGTCGCTTTTCCTCGCTTCACGCTCTTCACAACACTGAGCACCACACATAAGTTCCCACTCGTAAAATGGTCTAGAATAATTCGGCCAAGATATCAAGGAGGCTTGGGTGTTAGAGATTTATATTTGCATAACAAAGCAATGTTATTGAAGTGGCTGTGGAGATATGGGCAAGAGGAACCTGGACTATGGAAGAACATCATTGATGCTAAGTATAGGCAACATAATCACTAGTGTACAAAGAAAATAAACACTCCTTGTGGCGTTGGCCTATGGAAGAATATCAACAAGCACTGGGATGGGTTCTTTCAAAATATAACCTTCAAAGTTGGGAAAGGAGATCATGTTAAATTCTGGAAAGACAAGTGGCATGGAGATAATGCACTGAGAGATATATATCCCAATTTATACCAGATTGCACTCAATAAGGAATCCACTGTTGCTCAGAACAAAGAAAATGGCAGAAGGAACTAAAGGACTGGGAGATTAGTGACCTACTTACTATGTTCCACTCTTTAGAAGACCACATCAGTGATGATCAGCAGCCAGACAAACTCAGATGGGAACACTCTAAGGGGGGCAAATACACAGTCCAAGATGGTTACAAACACTTTTGTTCCCATAATGGTATGATAGATAACTGGCCTTGGAAACATATCTGGAGAACTAAGGCGCCTGCCAAGGTGAATTGCTTCACCTGTATAGCTATAAAGGGGTATGTCTCACTCAAGACAACTTTAGCAAGAGGAACATTACACTTGTTAACAGATGTTACATGTGTCAACAAAATTCAGAAAGTGTCAATCATCTTTTCCTCCATTGCGCAGTTGCAAGTGAAATTTGGAATCTCTTCTCCTCTATTTTTGGTCTGAAATGGGTTATGCCTCAGACAATAAAGCAAGCATATGAAAGTTGGTGTTTTTGGAGAGTTGACAAAGCCATCAAGAGGATCTGGAGAATGGTTCTAGCAGTAATATTTTGGTGTATCTGGACAGAAAGAAATCAGAGGTTTTTTGATGGCATCTCAACTCAAATCTACTCCCTCAAGACTATTTGCTTAGTTAATCTATTTAGCTGGATTTATCTTTCCCCTGTAACTAGTGCAGATCACCTTGTGGATTTCATTAGCTCCCTGTTCTTAGCATAGATTTTTGTACTGGAGCTAGTTATCTACCTTTTTGTACCTTTTGCATCTTCTTGATGCCTATTAATGAATCACCCTTACTTCATCAACAACAACAACATACCCAGTATTATCCCACAATGTGGGGTCTGGGGAGGGTAGTGTGTATGCAGACCTTGTGAGGATAGAGAGACTGTTTCCAACAGACCCTCGGCACAAGGAAGCATAAGTACCACATTAATGAAAATATAGACAAGAAGGAAAATCACCCTTCATAAAAAAAAAAAAAACTATAAACCCAAACAACAATTATTAGGACTAAAGAAGTGAAAAATATCATTATTAAGTGACAGTGTTTTTGAAAGCGAGAAGCTCAAAAAAGCGACAGGGGCTCGCCTCGCTTCAAAAGCGAAGCGCACGCTTCATTGAAGTGAAGCGCAATTCTTAAAAAACATAATGTAAACCTTGCAAAGACACAATATAAATAATAAAAAAGTTCAATTTATATATAAGAAAAAAACATAATCAAATAAACTGAAAATATAATATATATATATATAAAATTAACTTTATAAATTGAAATACACATACAAATTAATAAATAAAGGCTAAAATACTAAATAAGAAGAATAAAAGGAAAAAAAAAATCGCGCCTGCCCTAGAGCAGACCCCTGGACGGGAACAAGAAGAAGAAAGAAGAAAGAAAAAAAGGAGAAGAAGAAGAAAGAAGAAAGAAG